CCAAAGCCATTGCGGATGGATGAAGCAAGTGAAGATAGGGAGAGGTGGGTCAGATTTAGATCGCTTATGGGGAACATGACGGAGAAGAGGTCGGATTGGAGGCTATCGTCTGAAGTGAAAACCGAAAAGCATTAAAATCCTGTGCTTGATGGCTTGGAAAAAAAGGGAAAATGGCATTAAGGTCCCACACAAGCATAAATACAGCAAAAAGGTCCCCTGAAATCTCTTAATGTTTCTAAAGTCCCAAAGGGACTTGTGTGCAATTTTCAGAATCCTCAAATGACACTTTTGCCCTGACTATCCTCTTGCCCTAACTATCAGAAACAAAGACAGTGAGGAGTTTCCCACACAATATGGTTGAGAGAGAAGACGTTAGGAAAGAGGGAAGGAGCCATTGATGATGAAGTATCTTCTCCATTACCATTAGTGAACTCCAAAGAGCTTCCGTGTGAATCTCCACAAATCTTCAGCTGTGAAACTTTCTTTCCTCTTCTCTCCTACCTTTCTTGACAGATTGTGCATTTGTTTGGGAATGGGAAATCAGAAAATCATTTTTGCCTTTGGTACTGCAAAGCTTTTGTTTTTGGTCTAGAATTCACAAGTTAATCGATGGAGAAGCTATGTTTTTGGTTGGTGTGTGTTGGTAATTTAAGTTGGGTGTGTAGGATGATCATGGGTGCTCTGTTTTTGGGTTGCTTGTGGGTGGTTTTGCTCTGTTCTGAAGTTAGTTTAGTGGCAAAGGAAGAAGAAGATGAAGGTTAGTGTGGGTAGAAACCCTTAGCATGAAATGGGATATTATGTTGTCAATCAGGCCATGATAGTTGTCAATGTGTGCCGCGACACTTGTCAATATAGCTCCTTAACTTGTCAATGACAGTTGCGTGATTCTTGATGCAGGTTTAAATTACTGATGGCGAGTATATCTGTAAAGCATCTAGTTTGCTTTGTTCACATAGGGGGAAATTTTATAAATGATGGAGAAGATGATATGAGATATGTGAGAGGTAGTGTGATAACAATAAATGTAAAGGAGGGCACAAGTTATGAAGAATTGAAGAGATAATATCATCAATTGCTGGAAAAGAAAGCAACTCGTTTCTTTTGAAATTCTCAATTGTGTTTGAAAAAAAACTTTTGTGGAGTTGGTAGATGATGATGATGGGATAGAACATTTGATAAAGTTCAATGAAAAAAGTGGTCATCTGTATGTAAAAGAGAATGGAAATAAGGACCACATAGAAGCAACAAGAGGTAATACACTGGAGGAATAAGATGTGTAAGTTTAGTTTAACAAAACTGTTATTGTCATTTCTTGGTATGTTAGTTGTTACTGTCTTACTACCAACTTGTCAATGTATACACCCTGACTTGTCATTTCCTGCAGGATTGATCAATCATTTGGAGGTGTCAATGAATTGTCTATATCTCCACCTACCTTATCTGATTTGATTGAAGAGCTACCATCAATTCCTTGTGCTGTTGAAATGATCCCAACACCTACACCACAAATAAATTGTTTATATCTCCACCTATCTTATCTGATGTTACTTGTTACTGGATGTTGTGTTACTTGTCACTGGATGCTCTGTTAGTTGTTAGTGGATACTGTGTTACTTGTCACTGGATGCTCTGTTAGTTGTTAGTGGACACTGTGTTACTTGTCACTGGATGCTTTGTTAGTTGTTAGTGGATGTTGTGTTAATTGTCACTGGATGCTTTGTCCCTTGTCACTGGATGCTATGTTAATTGTCATTAGATACTGTGTTATTAGTGAAGCCTTTTGATTATGTGTTTTTTTTGCAGATGAACTGTTTCTATACGATGTTACGTGCTGTTAAGCCAGAATTATTTGCCAATGAGGACAAAATTGACAACGAAGTGAAATGGGCTAAAGTTTACGTACAGAATGATACGTGAGTGTAATTGTTTTGTTTGATTGTGTTACGTTGTTTTTGTTCACAATAACAATTGCATGGTGCTAACATATTCAATTTTCTTGGCAGCGATTCATGTGGAGTTCATGTTCTCTCTTGGCTACAAGTGTGGGATGGCACTGTTCTTGATGATGCAAGATATATAATGCCACGATACTCCAATGGTGAACTACAAGAGTTGAAGTTTAACTGTTTGTGGTGGTTGGTTACCCATCCAAATAATGAACATGGGGGTGAAGTGATGTCGATGTTATCTGACTACAACAAGAGCAAGAAGAGGAGATAGAGTAGTCTATTAATTTTTTGTTTTGTTAGCCCATAATATGTGTTGTAAGATGATTAGCAAATAGGTCATTTTGTAACAAATTGATCAAATTATGTTTATAATATTATTACCTTTGTCATCACATGTTGTAATACTAATTTCTTAGGGTTTTATTACATTTTTAATTACATTTCTATTTTATATGTGCAGAGATATTAAGAGATAGTGTTTTATAAAATATTCTAATTTAATGACAAGTGATATAAGAATTTCATAACAAATGAATGTGTGGATATTAACAATTGATATTCAAAATTTTTACAACTAAAGGTGTCCATATAAATAATGTTCCAGTGCTCCATTGATAAGTCATACTACGACCATTGATAAAGGATAGTGTTCTCATTAACAAGTCACAATACTTCATTGACAAGTCATAGTGCAACCATTGACAGGGATAGTGTTCTCACTAACAAGTTACAGTGCTCAATTGACAAGTCATAGTGCGACCATCGACAAAGAAGTGTTCTCACTAACAAGTCACAGTGCTCTATTGACAAGTCATAGTGCGACCATTGACAAGGGATAGTGTTCTCACTAACAAGTCACAATACTCTATTGACAAGTCATAGTGCCACCATTGAGAAGGGACAATGTTCTCATTAACAAGACACAAAGTTCTATTGACAAGTCAGTGTGCTACTATTGACAAGTTACAATGCTACCATTGACAGGGGACAGGAAGAGGTAAGTTTTTGACACTTCATTAATAATGATTATATATGACAATATAACTAAAATATGATATGACAGAGTGATTGAAAATATCATTTGATGGTAAAAAAAGTTATGTTACTTGAATTCATATTATTGACAATTTACATCAGCAAATTTATTGACAAGTCATAGTGTAATGATTGACAAGTCATAACAGGTCTAATGACAACGCAGGGTGCAGGTAATGACAACTGAACTGACAGCAGAATCTAACATGCCAATTCATAGTGAACTTTCATTTACACCTTCATGTATATGAAACTATACCTATTTCACAACCCATCCAAAAAAAAAACATAGGGGTTGCATGTAATTACAAAATTAATCAGTGGTGTGTATCTATTTACAAAAAAATTCCTTCACACCCATTTACAAAATATTCTCTTCACATCCATGTACAAAAAATAGCTGACTTCAATATGTTCTCAGCTGGGATTTGGGTTCTTGCATGTCTTGTATAGTGTTTTTCGGAGAGCAGTGGCATTTGGAAATATTTGTCCTTCTTCAATAATCAAATCCTTCCACTTTGTGGAATTTATTTGTGGTGTAGGTGTTGGGATCATTTCAACAGCATAAGGAATTGATGATGGCTCTCCAATCATATCAAATAAGGTAGGTGAAGACATAAACAATTCATTAACACCTCCAAATGATTGATCAATCCTGCAGGAAATTACAAGTCATGGTGCATGCATTGACAAGTTAGTAGTAAGACAGTAACAACTGACATACCAAGAAATGACAATAACAGTTTTGTTAAACTAAACTTACACATCTTGTTCCTCCAGTGTATTATCCCTTGTTGTTTCTATGTGTTCCTTATTTCCATTCTCTTCTACATACACATGACCACTTTCTTCATTGAACTTTATCAAATGTTCTACCCCATCATCATCATCTATCAACTCCATAAAAGTTTTTTTATCAAACACAACTGAGAATTTCAAAAGAAATGAGTTGCTTTCTTTTCCAGCAATTGATGATATTATCTCCTCAATTCTTCATAACTTATGCCCTCCTTTATATTTGTTGTTCTCACACTACCTCCCACGTATCTCATATCATCTTCTCCATCATTTATAAACTTCCCCATATGTAAACAAAGCAAAATAGATGCTTTACAGATGTACCCGCCATCAGTAATTTAAACCTGCATCAAGAATCACACAACTGTCATTGACAAGTCAAGGAGCTATATTGACAAGTGTCGCGGCACACATTGACAACTATCGTGGCCTGATTGACAACACAATATCCCATTTCGTGCTAAGGGTTTCTACCCATACTAACCTTCATCTTCTTCTTCCTTTGCCACTAAACTAACGTCAGAACAGAGCAAAACCACCCACAAGCAACCCAAAAACAGAGCACCCGTGATCATCCTACACACCCAACTTAAATCACCAACACACACAAACAAAAAACACAGCTTCTCCATTTATTAACTTGTGAATCCTAGACCAAAAACAAAAGCTTTACAGTACCAAAGGCAAAAACGATTTTCTGATTTCCCATTCTCAAACAAATGCACAATCTGTCAAGAAAGGTAGGAGAGGAGAGGAAAGAAAGTTCCACACCTGAAGATTTATGAAGATTCACATGGAAGCTCTTTGGAGTTCACTAATGGTAATGGAGAAGATACTTCATGATTAATGGCTCCTTCCCTCTTTCAACATCTTCTCTCTCAACTATATTGCATGGAAAACTCCTCACCCGTCTTTGTTTCTGATAGTTAGGGCAAGAGTGTCATTTGATGATTCTGAAAATTGTATACAAGTCCCTTTGGGGCTTCAGAAACATTACGAGATTTTAGGGGACCTTTTTGCTATATTTATGCTTGTGTGACACTTTAATGCCATTTTCCCAAATAAAAAGTTATACACCACTCTCATCTTAACCATCAGATAGATCTTACGGATATGATTAATCTCCTTGTCAGCCCCAGCATAGAAATCACGGCAGGGGATCTGAATCCTAGTGGTGCATTTTACGCTGGTCGTTCCAGAAGCATTTTCCCGGTGCTCCCTCGGAGCCTTGAGCTCTTGCCTTGTTGTGTGGATTTTTAGGGCACTCATTGCCCGTTTCGCTCTCTTGACTCAGACGCTACTCTTTTAGACTTCGCTTACTTCTTTCTTCATCGCCGATCCGCTCTTCAGGCACGTTCTCCCTCACACTCTCCTCCCTTTTCGCCTCCGCACTCCTTTGATTCGATGCTTTATGGCATCCTTGGGCGTCATTTTCTTTCAAATATTTTTTACCCAATACTGAGATGTATTAGGATTGCGATTAGGGTTTTGGGGAAGTATTTTATGTGGTTCTGTATTAGATGTGAATTTTTAGTTAGAAGAGCAGCCTTGCACTTATATTATTGGGCTGCTTATAGGCTTATCTATCGCGGTGAAGTTCTCATGACTAAAATTTTAAGTAACTTGTTAATACTATTCTAATGACTCAAGCGAAACTTTACGTAAAAAATGGTGCTATGACTGTGTGAATTATTTATTTAGTTTGTTTTAATTATGAAAGAACCAAGAAACATGGAATTGGATCATTGGCTAAGAATAATTTTGATTTCGCACCTCTCTCATAAAGAACTCATTCGATCTGAATTGGATCATCTGGATCATTGGCGTTAAATTGCTGTTCGAGCATACTTGTTATGTGATTTCTTTATGTAATTCCTGTGCCTTGCTTCATCAGTATTATCGACTACGTGTTCTCATCGCGATAATTTTTCGTCAATGATAACACGTCGGAATGAATGAGTTCAACTTGCTAATCATCAATATACAAGATAAATGTAAAATCTACAGCAAGAATAGATTATGTAGTGTATTCGTCGTACTTTATCTTTTGTGGAGGGAAAAAAGTGTCTGGTTAATTCAAATGTTGTGCTTTGAGTTTGTAAATGCTCAAGGCAAGAAAAATACATGTTGACCAGCCAAGTCAAACTGCAAATTTTGCCTGAAGCGTATTATCCTTAATATGTTCTATAACCTTGTATGTTTTTATACTAATTATGGAGCCAAGTGGTTCAGCTTTGCATGGTGACATCTTTTTGGTTTGGAGGGATTAAATATTTAAATGGCATATTCTGTAGAGCTCCTAAGGTTCTGTAGTTTAAAAAGCGGATAAGATTCTTATTTTGGGAATTATTGCGTTTTGCTTTTACACTTCTCTTCATCTCTGCTCTGCTTTCTGCTTTTAAGGCCCATTATTATGTAGAAACTGGGTCCTTTCTGTTATATAATGTGATGTCTACTGTCTAGTACGTTCTCTTATGATGACACTATTCTTTGCAGGTTGTTGAGTTCAGAGAAAAAGCTCTGTACATAGTGCACTGACTCTAAAGACAAGCAGGATCTTTTTCCGCAAAGGGATGACTTTTTGCATGACCTTTTGAAATTCATGCAATGTCGGGTTTACTTAATGTATTTCTTCGTCTTTCGAACTTTTGTTTTTGTTTTTGTTTTTCCTTCAAAAATGGTTAGCAATCACTGGAATGGTTTTCACTCTTTTGTATTTCATGCTACCAAATTGTTGAACTGTCTGTCATCACAAATAGTTTGCTTGTGTTGGTAGATATATGTTGTTTTGAATTTTGAAATATTTTCATTGAAAGCTAATCTCTTGTTAGATTGAAGTAGCTAGCTCATATTGGGCCATGTACCTCACCACTACTTTTGCCATCACAATTTTAATATGACATTCAATTTAGGCTCCCGGACATTATTTGTGAACTAGATATTGTGTTGAAGCATTATGGCATGATGCATTAAAATTCTTTTAAAATAAGTAATGCAATGTGTCTTCTGGATATCTCATGTTGCTTTGGGCTCCAGATTTATGGAAATAATGATTGTTACTTGTTAGTAGTTTTTTCTTAAACAGAGTTTAGAGTAAGATATTGATGTGGAACTAACCAAAATAAAGTAGAATCGATATAGAATTGAGCTTATCTGAAATTAGGGAAATAGGAAGGTTTTCCAGAACGAATGGGGGAATTCATGAGTGCTTTATATTCATCATCGACGCTTTTCATTTGGAGGTCCAATTATTCTTCCTTTTTTAGGATGTTTCTTTCCATGATTTCAAAGGCCATGATTCAGGAAACTCTGTATCTAAAAGTAATTAACTCCTTTGTTGGAGATTTTGTTCTTTATAGATACTGTGTTCATCCACATAATGAGCAAAATCTCATTGTAACTTTTGTGTTGTCTTGAATGTTGTAAATTTGCTCCTAGCTGCTTTTACTTTGGTCATATCTTGACTATCAATTTAAATTATAATATTAATATCCTTGCAGTCTTCTCTGAACGGATCTGCTTCAAATCTTCCCGATAGTGCTGGGAGGTCATTTGCCACGTCATTCTCTGGCCAGTCTGGTGCTGCCTCCCCAGTTTTCCATCATAGTGGTGAGCAGATCTTGCTCAAGTTTATCAGTTCCATCCCCCTATCTAGTTGTAAAATTGGTAGGTTCTTGCCGCAGGGGCTATCCAGGGATTGCACAACATCCACAGCAGCTTTAATGTTCCCAACATGCCAGGTGCCCTTGCATCAAGAAATTCAACAATAAATAGCATTCCGTCTGGAGGGGTTCAACAGCCTACTGGAAGTCTTTCTAGTGGAAGATTTGCATCAAATAATCTTCCTGTTGCTTTGTCTCAGGTATTTGTGCATATGTTTATGCTTGGTTTTATTTTGAGAGTATTTCATTGACTGATTTTTTGAGCATATATTTTCCTCTTTGTAATTATTTGTTCTCAGTTGCATTATTTATTTATTTATTTATTCTTTCAATCATTTGCAGCTAACTCATGGAAGCTCTCATGGACATTCAGGAGTAACAAACAGAGGAGGTATAAGTGTTGTAGGAAACCCTGGATTTAGCAGTAGCACAAATGGAGTTGGCGGTTCTATTCCTGGGATTCTTCCAACATCTGCTGCAATTGGTAACAGAAACGCTGTTCCAGGATTGGGAGTATCCCCAATTTTGGGAAATGTAGGTTCTCGAATTACTAGTTCTATGGGGAACATCGTTGGTGGAGGGAACATTGGGAGGAGCATTAGCTCTGCTGGAGGATTATCTGTGCCTGGTCTTGCATCTCGTCTAAATTTAAGTGCAAACAGTGGATCTGGTGGTTTAAGTGTCCAAGGACAGAATCGGTTGCTGAGTGGTATGCTTCCACAGGGTATGCATTTGTTACCTTAATTGTTTATGTTCATTTCCTCCTAAAATGTCCTGTGGCAATCGGCTTTAAACCCTTTTCATGTGGGCCATTAATTTATTACTGAATGATAATTAGTTTCTGTAATTAAGAATTAGTCACTTGGAAATTTATTTAAATGTTTTCTTGAGTCACCAGCCTTGGTCATTGGACATAATTTTGTTCTCTCTCTGACGGCCCTTTTTGTGTTTCATTTCATTTCTGTCACGGGTCTGAGGTTTTTATTCATAGCATAGGCAATCATATATCCTTGATGCATGCTGCTTGTCTTCGTCTATCTACTATTAGAAGGGATGTGTGGATGCTGAATTGTCTTGTATTAGGTTTCATTTATCCCCAAATCTCCCCTTATAGAGATAGCATATCCATATTCCAGTCTCATAGTTCTACGGAACTCAAAACAATTTCTCGTGATGTCTTGATGTTATATCTTGCTATGGTGGTAAATGTGTTTAAAGTATCTTTGCTGAGTGAGTATTTGTTAGTAGGTAATCTGTAATTACCTGTGTAAATACTTTCCGAGCCTTGAGGCCTACTTTAACCCTTGAACCTAAAATCTAACCTGCCTAAACTTTTCTATTATAAAAAAGAAGTGCTTAAAGTACCAGTTTTAAAACTGCTTGTTGCATTAGTATATATGCATGACGTGATTAAATTTTGTGTTTACTGTATGCTGAGGACTTCTCATATGTTGAATTGATTTTATTTAGATAAGATATATGCTACTTTCTGGTGACACAAACAGTGGCTTCTTTGTGCAGGATCACCTCAAGTTATTTCAGTGCTAGGAAATTCTTATCCTGGTGCTGGAGGACCCCTTGCTCAAAGCCATGTTCAAGCAGTAAATAATTTAAACTCAATGGGGATGTTAAATGATATGAATTCGAATGACAACTCCCCTTTTGACATCAATGACTTCCCTCAATTGACAAGTCGACCCAATTCTGCTGGAGGGCCCCAAGGACAGCTGGGTATGAGAATGAAGATGTTCTTCTGCTTGTTATACTCATTCACTTCCTCCTGCAATAATCCTATAGCCAAAAATTTCAGGTTCCTTGCGAAAACAGGGTCTTGGGGTTAGTCCCATTGTCCAACAAAACCAAGAGTTTAGCATTCAAAATGAAGATTTCCCAGCTTTACCAGGATTTAAAGGTACAATATTTGGTTTAGATGCGTGATCTATTTGGTTGCATTTGTTGTTACTGTCAGGAGTTTTCTGGAACCTCTGTGCACACTTGCAGTGAGTGGAGATTGCTCATTTGCGTCAGCATTTGTTTTTGATTATATGTGTCCAGGTGGCAATGCAGATTATGCTATGGATATGCACCAGAAAGAACAACATGAGAATGCTGTGTCCATGATGCAATCTCAGCATTTTCCTGTGAGTTGACTTCTGATTGATATATATATATATATATATATATATTAAGGAATTGTGTTTACAGTTACATATCCTGGTTTTAGGATCTTAAATCAAGAACCTTTCTTTATTTTAACTGCTCTTAATATGCAGATGGGAAGGTCTTCTGGCTTCAGTTTAGGGGGTACATATTCAGCACACCGATCACAGCAACAACAGCATGGTCCATCTGTCAGTAGTGTTGGTGTCCCCTTTTCATCTGCAAACAATCAGGAACTTCTCCATCTTCATGGGTCAGATATGTTTCCTGCATCACATTCAACCTATAGTTCCCAGGTCTGCTAGTTTTTCTGCTGATTGGTTTTGTTGTTAATGTAACTGATGGCTTTTTTTATTTATTTTAAGGTGCTCTTTCTGTTCAAGTATAGCTTGTTTTTGGGTGTGAGGTGTTTAAGCTAATATGTTTACCATATGTCTGTACTAAAGCATTGAAGCACATGTTATTTTAATTTTTTCAATCATTTGTAGACCAGTGGACCTTCTGGCATTGGGTTAAGGCCTCTAAATTCTCCAAATACTGTTTCTGGTATGGGATCATATGACCAGCTTATCCAGCAATACCAACAGCACCAGAACCAGTCCCAGTCACAGTTTCGTCTTCAACAAATGTCAGCTGCAAATCAATCTTTCAGGGATCAAGGCATGAAATCCATGCAAACATCCCAATCAACACCGGATCCATTTGGTTTGCTTGGCTTGTTGAGTGTGATCAGGATGAGTGATCCTGATTTGACATCTCTTGCACTTGGAATTGATCTTACAACACTTGGATTAAATTTAAATTCATCAGAAAATCTCCACAAGACTTTCGGATCTCCATGGTCTGATGAGCCGGCTCAGGGAGATCCAGAGTTTACAGTGCCACAATGTTATTATGCTAAACAGCCACCTGCCCTGCACGTGAGATGCTCTTTATGATGTCTTATTAAGTTTTTGGTTCCTTCTCTTCTTCCTTTCTTTTAGCCTTAGACTATGTTTTTCTGGATCATGCAGCAAGGCTATTTTTCAAAGTTTACAGCGGAAACATTGTTTTACATATTTTACAGGTGCCTTTCAAAAGTCAAATCTTGTCTGCCTTGAACTTGTGGGACATTATAAATTGGTCCTAATTATTGTCATTCTTGCAGCATGCCCAAAGACGAAGCTCAATTATACGCCGCAAATGAGCTGTATGCAGATTTTCACCTGCGCATTTTTTTGCCATATATTTTGGACTATTTCTGATTTTCTTTTTCCTTGTATCTAGTTATTACTAACTGGTTCAGTTTTTTGTTCACAGTTACAATAGAGGATGGTTCTATCACAAAGAACATCACCTATGGTTTTTAAGAGTTCCCAACATGGAGCCACTTGTTAAAACAAACACGTATGAGAGGGGATCTTATCACTGCTTTGATCCGAACACATTTGAAATAATTCGTAAGGTTAGATTTTGTAAATATGTACTGTATCCATCAAAACACCCGCCATTTTTTGTGTGGAAGGTTTCATACGTTTGGATTTGTTATGTTTTAGGTTACTAACTGTGCATCGTTATTGCAGGATAATTTTGTCGTTCAATATGAGTTGTTGGAAAAACCCACCTCTGCCTCAGCATTGAGGTGAAAGGGAAATTTGTGATGTAAAGTTTCAATTTATGGATTTGATTCGTTAGAATGTTTTAAGTCATTTTGCAGAATCAGTGTCCCCTCAGTCTGGCATTTCAGATGCCATCTTATCGCATAGGACGACCTGGTGAGTTTGCTTCGGCTGTCTTTCCTCTTTCTCGTGGGCTATCCTATGATGAGGGCCAATCAATTCTTTTTTTAAACGCAAGTTGAAGCTTGCTTCTGCAAAGCTAAGTTTTCTAATCTTTAAAAACGGGAAAACTGTTTTTAATTCAAGATCATTTTTCACAACTGATACAAAACGCACTAATATAGAACGACCGGTTAGATTATGCGTAAAAAAAAATCTTGGGTTTCTCAGGGAATGGCTTAATCATCATTGACATCAGATGATATAAAAGGGAGATAATTGCACCTCGCCTGTTGAATGATTCCATGTATTTGCGACATGAAAACTTGTAAAGAATTAACACATGTAATAGTTGATCGAGCAATGACAGTTATGATGTTTGCAGTGCTGTATTGGGATGCAGTAGTGGGACGGCCACGGGCATGGGGTATTTTACCTTGGAGATGCGTCCTTGTAAATCGCCTGGCAAAACTTCCATGGGAATTTTCTCACCGTCACTTTTGAACAGTTGCGCTAAGCTGCTGGGGGTGACTTGTTAATTTTGCAGCGAAAGTCCATTGCCTGTAACGTTTTACGTTTGGCACTTCTAACTAGTCTAAATCTCCACCATAAGAATAAGGAGACAGTTACAATTCGGGTTCTTGGTAAGATGCATAGCAAGCACTTTGACGGACGGCCTATCGGTTCAAAATACAATATTAACAAGTTATCGCGAGCAAACTAGTTAACAGTTAACAATATTACAATATTTCTTTTATTTAATGTAAGGAAAATCAAAGCAACACGACCCTATGCTGAGGTTTGTAACGGATGTTTGCTAAGGCTTTTCCGAAAGAGCCTTATGAAGATTGCGAGGGGCTCAAACCAAGCTTTTCAGAGTTGGCATTTGGCTCTCCAAAAGCTCCCTTTTGCTCAATATTCTATCAGATGTACAATCTTCTTCCTATCCAAAATAAGGGGAAAAGGTTATTTACTATACGTGAAATTCCAGCTAAATATAGATGAATTTGGATGATGGCAAGTGTATCCTCCTACGTGATTTAATTTGTAGACAAGCTAAATATTCTAAATGGTTTCCTTTTTGTTTGGGTTAATTTTTCTGAAGTCATATTCTCTTGCACTCAGTATGCCTGATTGATGGCTACCCCTTTGAAGCATGCCAAGGAAGCAGTTTGAAGAATGCTAAAAAGTGAACGATCAACTGTTAAAAAAAGAAACCACGCGTATAATTAGTAATACTCACATCCCCAGTTGCAGCGGCTAATAATGCCAGAAGAGTCACTGTAGCGCTCTGATAATCAGTTAAAATCTTGAATGACGACTCATCTAACTTGTCCTGCAATTAGATAAATATCAGAAGAATTGTGGAGTAAAGTCATGACGAATGCCATTATTTATCAGGTACTATTGCTGAGTTGCATTGGGTGATTTCTGACAGGTAGAGATCTACAATTGCTGACCAGAACATAACGCCATTTCAAGCATCATTTCTTGGTTGGGTACCACCGGCAGGTATTAATCCGGTTTTTGCATCGATGTCAATTTTAAAACTTTCACTCAATCACTTATTGTTAACAAAAGCGGTAAATAGGAAATTTTGATATTAACAATTGAATCCGGCCTTGGCTGATGAGCTTAATGTGGTTATTATCCTGATTTATTTGTTTTGCCAAAAATGTTGCAATTCTCAATTTGGGTTTAGCAATTTGGCTGTGACTTCCTCTCCTCTCAGTACCTGCACAACTTCAGTCTTTATTTTAATTTTATGAATTATACGAATTAATACTAAATCCAACTGATAAAAAAAATTACTTACCTTGAGTTGGGAGATGGCGACGGAAATGGCCCTTCCAGGGGCTTGAAGTGCTTTGTGGTAAACCTAATCATTAAAGCATCCACGTTGGCAGTGGGGGTAAAAAGGAACTTCAACATATGAGAGAAAAGATGGGAAAGATGTGCTCAAGTTACCTGTACGTAGAGTAAAGACACAACTTTGGCCAGAAGAGATATTGGATCAGTCTCAACAGAAATTTGAGATGTCAATTCCTGCCAACAGAGATGGAAAACATACAATCAACCATCACCAACATACGAGCAAGACTCCGTTAATCCGACCCCAAAAATTTCTTCTTACACAAATATAAGCATTAGTACCTTACGGTATGAGTGTAGAAGTGTTCTTTCTAATTTCTTGTCAAGCTTTTTCAAAGACAACCCACTGGAAAAATTAAAAACCAAACTACATATGAAGGTTCAGATCACCACTGTAATGCTAAAGTTCCTAGTACAAATATAGACAGATTACCTCTCTTCTGCTACCTCTCTAAAAGCATCCATAAATGTTTCCACCCGCTGTTGCATTGAGTATTCAGATATTAGTCATACAATCATGTATTCAAACATTACAGCAAGGTTTAAACAAAAAACCCCCCGGGGGGGTGTTTGGGGAAGGGAGCAATTCCAGCCGTTAGCTACATGAAATTTAGACTGCAATGTTTGCGGAAGGGGTCCCACCCCGTCAACTTGACTGAAGAAAACAAGAAAATGACCAGCTGCTGGTCCTTGAAGGCAAAACACTGACCTTTCCCTCCAACGCTTCAACAACACCAAGAGCTTTTTTACCAAGCGCACCTGGTAAACTCTTTGACTGCAAGAGTGAAAAAAATGCGTGAGAAATTTGAGGCCATGTACGTATTCCTCCTAAATGGAAGTTGCACACACAGAGACACGTGTATGTATATAAACAGTGGCTTATTTATTACAATTGCAGCTCTTTCCCCAGGACTAAGTGTGAGCAAATCCGAATTTGAAGCTTCCTCCACTTCAAGCCCGCTCTTTAACTTGTTGTGCTCATCCTACAGATGATGAACATAATTTCTGTATCATTAAGAAAAAATGAAAGGAGGAAAAACTATAATGTATTATATTAACAAGTTAACTTAGAAACGGCCATTAGACAATACCAACTTACGAAGAAGCATATCCACCATAGGGGCAGCTACTGTTCTCACTAAATGCCTATGCAAAACAACCTGGGTATCATAGAGGAGTTAATTTTTACGCATTTCACCAACATTGTAATATTTCAAATTAGTTATCAAAACTTACGGAGGTTGACTGATCATCTTCAAACAATTCTAAAGCTTTTTCATAAAGCTGCATATTTAAGAAAGACTGCGAGAGAAATAAACAATCAGCATAGGACAATATGCATATAAGGATCTTATAGATGCATATCATTATATTTTCATAATGCAAGCTTAGAAGTTACACAGAAAGCAAAGAAGAGATAATTGTAGCGTGAAACTGCCACTTTAGCAGGCTAACCTCATCAAGTTTCTTTTGCAAATTATCAAGCAAAGATTTCATTCTTTCTGCATTTTCTGTAAACAATGCTTTCTTCTTCTCCATCCAAGAAGCCATAATTGTGGGCCTTAAATGATTAGCCAAAGGCCTCAGAATTGTTTCAGGATCATCCACGCCTACCAGATTATAACATTGCACGTGAGAAGATTGGGTAACATATTAATGAGAGAAACAAATTTGAAGTTAGAATTAACAGACATTGTTCTTCAAAATCAGGAACCAAAGTCATAATCTTCTGCATAATCCACTCATCTGAAGGACTCCTGAGGCTATCCTCCTTCGTTTTAAGTGATTCTTTCCTAGAACCTGTTTTTGAATCTGACATTTGTGAGGAAGATGTATCCTTGCCCCTTCTCTGGCTTCTTTTAGATTTTGTGGAAGTCTGCTCTGGAATATCTGCAGCACTGTCAGACACAATTGCTGCTGCGTTCCCAGTAGCCTTTCCCTTTTTCTTCTTTGATCCTCTATCGACATGTTTAATGGCACCGCCATCTGTTGCAGTTTCATTTGACTCACTTGATCGAGTGAAGTCCTGCCCAACTTTAGCTTCTTTCGCTGCTTGCGAATCACTTAACATTTTAATGCCAGAAGACCCTGAAACACCTAATGTTTCCATTTCTTTCACCAAGTGTTCACAGATGCCCTAGTTGTTAAGGAGAGATAATAGTATAAGCAGTCGGAAACTGAAGGAGAGAGGATCCTCTGCTGTGCCTAGCGCACTATAATTTGTTCTTTTTATATTTTTAATTTTATGTTTTTTATTTTGGCAGCATAGATAGCAGAAGATCCAAAATCAAACACAAAAATAGGCATAAATGTGGCTTGTGAGATTAACTACTAAAGATTAAGACTAAATAAAAGGCTATACCTTCATAAAGCTGAAGCTCAGAACATAAAAGTCCCCAAAAATGTGTGCTTTGTTAGACTGCAAAGAAACATGAAGTATATGAACATGCAAATCAACTCTGTGAACATACATTTACCAGGTAAGTGAATATTACCTTAAGAGCAGATTGAACAGATGGGCAGAAGTTCAGCATTTTAGATGCATCTTGAGGGGTGAAGGACGAAGGCAATACGGAAAGAGCATCACTCCTGCATCATTGCTACATCAGAATAGAATGCGTACAAAACAAGTTAACAGAAACATCATGCCTGTCACTTAAAAGACCAAGGACACAACATATGGATGCATTAAGAGTGATCCTTCCAAGGGCTTCAGGTGGACAAGAAAAAAGGGATCATTTGCCATCATCCAAAAGCTACATCGTGCTGATGTGTGACTAGAAAAGAAGTCAAGAGCCTTGCAGACATTTTTTTAAAAAATTTTCTACCTCAATTAGGTGATATAGAACCACATAATTTCTATAAGATTGACAAGAAGGGACACAAGCAGCGAAAAAAATAAAAGCACAGCCACCATCAAGCAAATTCAAAATTCACCATATCAAACAATTTTTTTTTTTTTTTTTGAAATAATCACTTTCAGATGGGTGCTGAATGGTGTTGGATAAGGCTCTGTTGAGCAATTAGGTAAGGAAGGAAAATAGAAACTGCGGGTAAAGAAAAGGGGGTGAAAACAAGAATGTGTGACAGTTAAGGCTCTTACCAACTACCACGCTCAAGGGCATCCTCAGTGGCAGCATC